TGACACAGAGTGGCACTAGAGAGAGAGAGAGTAGTTATTCGGTGACACAGAGTGGCATTAGAGAGAGAGAGAGAGTAGTGATTCGGTGACACAGAGTGGCACTAGAGAGAGAGAGAGTAGTTATTCGGTGACACAGAGTGGCATTAGAGAGAGAGAGAGAGTAGTGATTCGGTGACACAGAGTGGCACTAGAGAGAGAGAGAGAGAGTAGTGATTCGGTGACACAGAGTGGCACTAGAGAGAGAGAGAGTAGTGATTCGGTGACACAGAGTGGCACTAGAGAGAGAGAGAGTAGTTATTCAGTGACACAGAGTGGCACTAGAGAGAGAGAGAGAGAGTAGTGATTCAGTGACACAGAGTGGCAATAGAGAGAGAGTAGTCATTCAGTGACACAGAGTGGCACTAGAGAGAGAGTAGTGATTCAGTGACACTAGAGAGAGAGAGTAGTGATTCAGTGGCACTAGAGAGAGAGTAGTGATTCAGTAACACTAGAGAGAGAATAGTGATTCAGTAACATATATTGGCACTAGAGAGAGTAATGATTCAGTGACACAGAGTGGCACTAGAGAGAGAGAGTAGTCATTCAGTGACACAGAGTGGCACTAGAGAGAGAGTAGTGATTCAGTGACACAAAGTGGAACTAGAGAGAGAGAGTAGTCATGCAGTGAAACTAGAGAAAGAGAGAGGAAACTGTAATTCAGTATCACAAGCGGAGTCAGTGACTTGTGGCTGATGATTCTTAGTGACATAAATAATTTATTTTTAATATAATTGTTCAGAAATACTAAAAGGTAAATAAGAAAAATGAGTATTAGAATAAAAGCTGACTATTATAATTATGTCCATATCTTATAGTGATAGAGGTTCCTCAATGATGTGTTTTATCATTATTTATTAGTAGCAATATTATAGAGTGCTGCTCTGATAAATACTGAATAAGGAATTCAAATTGGAAAAGAAAAAAATTGTGAGATTTTCCACAAAATAATTTTTCTTAAAAATGGAATCCCCTGGTGGGACAGTGGCAAGTCTGTAGATTTACAACAATAAAATCAGGGGTTTGATTCCCCTTGGTGAACACAGCAGATAGCCCGATATGGCTTTGCTATAAAACACACACACTTAAAATTTGGCATCTTTACTGCAAGAGATTTCATCAATGCAGGCAGGGCAATATTATCCAGAATTTGTCAGTGTGATATGCCATGTGTGCCTTCTTTAACTGCTACATTGGATTAAGTCCAAACTGTGATAGTAATCCCACCACTCTTCACAATCATACCCAAAAGTTTAATCTCAAACTCAGACTTATTGTCTACATGCTCATTTTCCACAGCTCTTCACCCTCAAATTTGATGCTCTAGACACTAGCAGTCCGACTCGTCACTAAATTCCCGGCTGCTGAATTTGATGCCAGAGTATAATAATTAAAGTCTTGTACCAAAATTTTAGTTTGTGTGAACTTGTTCAATTCTGAGAGTGGCAACTTCTACTATTATTGATAAGACCTTCACTCCATTGTTCTTTACTCTCATATTTGGTGCTCAAAGCACTAGAAGTCTTAATAACTTCTCATCAAATTCAGCACTCAAGAATGATGTTAAAAGTTTAATAGTAAAATTTTAGTTTACGTGAACCTGTGCAGCTTCTACTATTAGTAATAATAAATCAAAGAATATTAAAATAAATGTTTTGCTGAAGAATGAATTGATAGTTCGCTGACACGTTAGGTTAACATTTACTTGAAACCTATCTTTGAAAGTAAAATTCTGTGAAGCCAAATTACCAGCCTCTATACTATACTTTGTAATATAAAGAAGTGGAATATTGCTTCTTTTTTAAAGTCAAATATGTTAATTTTGTTTACAGTTTGATAGATTCAACAATACAATTTTTTAAAATGAGGTTAATTTAGTATTTATAGCACTCCTATATTTTCACCCAGAAGAGATATCATTTATTACTCTAGAATAGAAACGTTTACAAATGGAACGTTAATGATGTATTAAATTATTTATTCCAATAGAAATATTTAAAAGACTGTTGTAATGAATTTTTGAATACATGGAAGTAAGAAAACGTGAATTTTTATCTTCTAGGTGAAAAGTAATTTTAGAACTGCCATCACCATTCCAGAAAAATCATGGTCCCGCTTTCGAGACATATTTGCTGAATACATTGACAAAATGAAAGATCTTACAGAGCCACCTAGTGAGGGTGGAAAGTAGGGTTGATCAAGAACAGAGCAATGACTCTCTCCAACCTGTATGCTTGGGTCAGTTGTCTTCTCATACTGACTATCGTAAAAGTGGGATTCTCTGTTATTTGTGCATGCGATGGGGAAGGAAGTGGCCTGGTGTCAATAGTTTCTTTGGGAAGGAACTGCTGACATCATCAGTTTTCTACCTAATGCAGCTCCATTGCACTGTAGGAAGAGTGGCTGGTTGATCTTGCTTTTTTGCAGTAGTGTGCAGATTGTCTTCTATTTGTTGTGTATCCAAGATGGAGTTTCTTATCACCTTCCTTACAACCAAGGGGGAGGAGGAATTTGTTGCTGCATAAAATATGGTGAAAGGTGTACATTTGACTGAATAATAAACTTTTGATGTTAATATTATAATTGTTTTGTATAAACTTTTGCCAGAACTACAAGCAAGTCATCTCCCACTCCAGTTTTTAATCCTACAGAATGCTGCAGTTGTAGTGCAGGTTTCTCAATAAAAAGTTTTGTTGGGTTTTTGAGGGTATTTCCAGTCTCCACCAGTAGCACATTCAGCTTAAACATAAGATTAAGTTATTGAGGGTATTTCTGGTTTAAACCCAGAGCACATCCAGTTAGATTGATTACACGTAAGTTCATGTTTGTCAAAAGTATGCTCCTTTATTAAATAAAGGTATTTCTGAATTCCGTGGTTTAAAAAAGAAAATGTCCCTGTTATTAGCAGTTTTCAACACGTAAGTCGAGAATTTGTGAAAGGGGTCACAAACAAATTTTGAGAATAGCTAATAACTTATTTATTTAATTAGAAAATGTGTAGTAAGCTAGGTGTTTTTGCACTAAAAGTATTTATTGGGTTCTGAATGAGCATCAACGTTTACAAATGGATTCTGAGTCAGAAAGGTTGAGAACAACTGCTGTGTGACCTCTAGTCTAAATAATACCACTCCATATACATCTACAATAGAAGCAACCATAAATACACTTATTATATGACCTATTAATGTAGACATTTACAAAATAGTCTTTTCTTGATATTGATCATATATATATATATATATATATAATAGCTTACAAACTATTGATTACATTAATTGTTTATAGGAGATTAAATCAGCACTATAAAACAATAATGAATTAAATATCACAATACTGTTATTGGTCCTGGTTAATAACGGATAACGTCTGTGGTAATAGCACTCGAATGCGTTGGGGATATCCCATCTATCAGACAATATCCAAATGTCAATGCCAATCTAGTCAGCGGCCATGGAAAAAAAAAAAAAAATCATCAATCAAATAAGGGTACGAAGCTGAGTGCTTACACACACAACGTCTCAGCTTCTACTGCCTTTCACTATCTATAGCCAGTTGTGGGAAGACAGTTACCCTTAAATTTCTTAAAGTAGAAATGAATTGAAATAATTCTATTACTTAAACTCCCAACCTCCACCCTTACAAAAAGATATTAAATAGAACTATAAAATATTGAATAGAACTAAATAGAACCATAAAATATTAAATAGAACTATAAGATATTAAATAGAACCATAAGTTTATGTAAGAAAAATAAACACAGAGATGATAGTTTCAGTATTAAAACAGTAATTTTATTCAAAATGGCTTATGCATTGAGTTTAAGAATGGTTAAATATGTTGTTAATTATATTTATTACTTTCTTAAAGGTTTAGCTATTACCCCATTCTTCAATGATATAAGAACTTTTTAAAATATACTACACAACTTTAGTTACTAGGGGATTAAATCTTGTTCCATATTCTACTACAAGTTCAGCTGATTTTTTTCTGATTCAGGAATGGTAACTATTTGATTAACTTTGCATAAGGCTGACTGACTGCTTTGTTAAACTTACCAACTTGTGTATATTGTTCGTATAGATTTTTTTAAATTTAGATTCTGGTTTATTCATGGTACTTAGTCTCTATATAGGGGAAATTCTCCTCAGCTCATCATAATATGTTTTCCACATGATTAGCTGATGATCGATGTTTGAAAGACATTGTGAACTAGACACAATATGTTTACCTAATAGGAACTTAGTTTTAAGCTCCTACCATAGAAGACACAAGTTATGTTTATATCCAGGCCACTTCCAAAACTTTTCACAACTGAACTAACCTCTCTTAATGTGACCTATAGGTCAGTAATGCTTTAACTAGAGAGCTGAGAGTGAGTTATAAGTTTTCTAATTCATTCAGCTGCGTTCGATATGTGAAATAAATGGTTAATTTTTTATAATCAAGGTGTTTTGTTTATTAAATTATTTGGAACAATGTAACTTTACTATCCTTATGATAATATCATCGTGAACAAATGCATATAAGCTACTCCTAACCAAGTTGTTTGTGTGCATAGTATGCAAAAAACACGTCTTTTGATATGAATTGAAGCTAAATAACAGCCAATAATTTTGGAAACCTGAACATTTTTTGACCTCTGCAGGAACATACAAGGGTAACCTGACATTGTTGTTTTGAACAAAACCTGTAACCAAACTTTACAATTGCTCCTTGAACACTATGAACGAAAGTTGTACACCTGGTAAGAAATGGGTGCAGTTGTCATCAAGTATACAACGTATAGGTGCAAGGATGTTAGCTCAGTTTTATGAACTGTCGGGATGCTTGAACTTTATCTCTTTCTGTTAAAAAACAACAACAGTAAAACTATTTTGATATGAATATGTAACTTAGTTAATAATGTATCAGTAAAATTTTCTTACATTTCAAAGCAAGTTTTTCTATAAAAGCAAATATTAATTCCTTATCTACCAAATACATCCAATAACACTGGATTCTAAGGTTCTTTACAGTGATAATTAATATTTCATTATAACGAAAAGAATAAGGTGAGGTTACATATGATGTTTTTCTTTTACTCTGCATTACCCAAAGGCGGTATTTACACTTTTCACTCAGCCTGATGATAATTTTTACTTTTAGATATTGTTGGATTTGAACACACATATAGACCTTTCTGAATAGTTGGTACACAAATAAATAAATATATTTTCAAATGCTGAATACTTGGTTCTATTAAGCAACTTTAAAAATTACACATTCTGTCTCTTAAAATTCTTAAGTTAATTTACATTAATTATAAGTTTTACTTTTGATTCTTTGTTTTCGCTAACACCATATAAAGTAGAATTAATAATGTAAACATTACCTCCACAATTATATTTTGTAATCCCAAGTACTTTATCACTGAAGAGAGATTTATGTTTTTGGGGCATCCAGCTATATTTAAAACTTTTCCCATCTGGTATGTTGATTTGGTGTAAGTAAGCTTTTCTAGTTTTAGGACTTTATAAAAATGTAACATTAAACCAATCTGTAATGCTCATAATGAAACTACTTTCACAAATATTGATTTCATTTTTCAGATTTTAAACTCCATAACTTTTAATACTTTTTTATGACAACTGGGAAAAGAAAGGTTAAAAATTCAGTGAGTGATAACATGTTACAATAAAGGGTTATATGGGTTATTTAACGCATTGTTTTATTATACTCTAAAGCTTGAGCCCCCTCCCAAGTGGCAGCGGTAACTTTGAAACCTCACAAAGCCATAAACCCATGGTGGGCACAGTACATATAGCCCATTGTGCAGGTTTGCACTTAACAACTACGAAACTAAAGCCCGATGTTTTATTAAACCAAATTATGTTATTAATTGAGTCACATATCAGTGCTGTGATGTTATGAGAGTGTAATATACCCAACGGCATGTTGTACCAAAATATCACAAACCAATAACTGTACAAAAAGTTTAATTAAATATTAGTCTACTGAAAACCTTTACCACTAGATGGCAGCACTAATAAAAAATAAAAAGTGTATTTCCAGAAAGTCCTGTTAATTAATAGAAGAAATACAAGGCTAGAGTAGAAAATAACGTAATATGTATAAATAGGGGTTAGTTATAATTTTACTTTCAGAATTTTTTTTCTAATTTTGTATCACTTTGAAGCAACAAGATAAAAAAACACCCTACGATTTTAGTGTTTCTGTAAAACAACTTCAGCTTAGTTATGGAATAATTAATATAAAACAATTAATGGACGATTTAATATTGTAAGAAATTAACTTATTGATTCTCACTTTTTGCTTAGATGTTTTATTAGTATCCAGTATTTCATTTGCCATTTTACAATATTAGATCTCTGTTGGCTTATAACGCTAAAACTCAGGTTTCGATACCTGCGGTAAGCAGAGCACAGATAGCCAATCATGTATTCTTAATACCATGTAATTGCAACATCTGTTAGAAATACGATTTTAGTATGTTTTAAAACACTGGGTTAAAGAATGGGTTTATATTAGGCAATATTAAAGTTAAATTACGTGTGATATTGTTGGAAAATGTGTGTAGTTGATTGTTAAAACTGTGTTGAAAAAATAAAGGATTAAGTTTCATAAGAAAATTAGTCTCGCTTTCCCAAAAATATCTGTATAAAAGGCTTAGTATTACTTACATAATATACAACGAAGACCACTTTTTTTTAGTTATTTGTGTTGAGGTGTGAAAGGCATTATACGCATATATATAACGTATATTTCCAAAAGTAAAGTAGAACCATTAGTTGGTTATACATCTGTCATATAAAGTGTTTCCAGAATAAGTTGAGGCATGTTGTCTATGACGTATTTTCGCACGGGCCGACTAGGCTCAGGCCTAGGACAGCAATATTCCCGTGGCATCGTTTGTTTTTAATCATTGATTTGAATGAAAAATATATAGCGAATGCAAAACTAATGAGTATGCAAGTGAACCTAACCCTCCCAGGTCGCGCACAACGACCAAACAGTGAAAAAGCTCTACGCACTTTAATATATCACTGCATGTTGTATCATAGTACTAGTACAATCAGTACATGGGGTATTCGTATTCGAATACAGCTTAAGGAGTATTCGTACTTGTATTCGAAATATTTGGCAGAGAAAATCAAAATATTCTTATTCAAATTCAATGGCACAGTATTCGCTGAATGATTTAGTGAATACTTAAAATTGTAAGAGTAAATATCAACTTTTGTACTCATGAAATTTCTAGACTGTCATTATTAAACGTTAATTTCTCTTTCAATAAGATGTTTGTACTGAAAGAGAAATTTATACTTTTTCTGTATAAAAAAACAATGTAATATAATACGTCATTTGATAGATGAAAACCTTAGATTTCTATTGGTTATAAATAATATGGTATTGAACGTCAGAGAGAACTACTGACAAATCCTGGAAGAGAGGACATGACAAGTGGGTGTGGCAAGAGGAGTCTGATTTTTTATTTGATGGCTATGTAACCAAACAAAATTGAAGGCTATGAAAATTATGCTTTGCCTGAGCGATGACAACGTTATAATGAGTAATTGGCGTTAAATTTCGAACTTCTAGAAGAAGTGGTAAACAAATTATAAAAGATAAGATGCCTAGAGAAAAAAAGTCACATTTCTCACACTAGGGGAAATCAGGATTTTTTTAACATTAACTTATAAAAGTAAGAACTTAAAACTTATATTCTAATAAAAAAGAATATTATTAGCTACGAATTTATGCTATACTAATTGGTATAACATGAAGAAAAATTAGTTTAAGGAAAGTTTGAATGTAACTTACCAAAAACATCGTGACATGCGGAGGAAAAGATGCCCGTGGCGAAAGGGCTA